GATCCAAACAGTAGAATTCCGGCAATGACGAACAGACTCAGATACACCGTGACAAACAAACAAAGACCCGAACATCTCGGTTGGTGAAGAAACCAGAATGTAGAAGGGCGATGTGACATTTTTGAAAATTTGTGTTCATTCCTGTGTAGCTTACAGATATTTTACTAACACTGTATTATGTAATACGATGATTACAAGAATCATCCCGTTCTTTTTAAACGAATAATCCGATGTTGTACAGTTAATTATCTGAAAACTTCATAGGGCATTAAGAATGTACACTCACACGAGACTAAAACTCTGTCACTGTTCGCTGAGATATGCAATCATTTTTATTTGAAATTCCATTTATATGTTTCATTCGACTCGCTAGTATTTTTTTTTAATTTAATTCCACGTTGTTATAGACAGCCATCAAGAGCGAAATTCTGTTTTGACGTCTCTGACATTCAAGTCATACAGCGTGTAACCACGTACATATGGTAAATCAATTACAAACAGAAATCACAGCGAAAGGCCTACATGTTATATTTCACGACAGAATATCACATGCAAACTTTTTAAATTAACTTTATTTGATAGTCAAATTGTTTGTCTTGTCCTAAAATTAGCACACACCTGATTTTCCTAGTTAAATTCCTCACTGGGTAAACACGTGATATCGTCGTATTAACACAATTATAGTCTGTTAATCGTGGAAAGAATTTTGGCACATTTTCTACACACATTACATACAGCTCTTCAGAAATCGAAAATAAACTATATGAAGCCACAGTCTAATTTATTTTGACATAAACAAATCGGACAAGTCGATTTGTTTTGGCGAGATATCATTATTAGCCACATGGCTAACAGTTAGTGACGTATTATTGATCGGGGAAAGTTTTTGTATTGAATTATAAATTATAATCCAGATCACCGTACGTAAACAATGTCACGATACTGACAAGAATTCCACGAAATTTACTTTACTGCACACATTCAAATAAACTGTTGTCACGTATCAACAATTAACATCCTCTTGACAATGAAAGTCACTTCGAAGCCACACCTGGTGATACAAGTCGTTGTGTCACACGGGATAACAAGGTTATCGAGAACAAGCCAAAAGCAAATGTAAACTGAACCTCGCCAGCCGCCGTCTCGATGGGAACTAACACGACGACGTCGATTCTAGAACCTTCTTGCGTTCTGTCGCTGCCGACCAACGGCGCTCACACTTATATACACACAGCAAGCCCAGTTCACACTAGACCGAATGTCCAAAGCGGAGGGTATGAGTTAATTTTCATCTTATTCTGTCCGATCTACTTTCTGCAGTAAAAAAAAAATTGTTCATTTTGGTCATCCGAAAATTTAAGCGTCATAACTTACCGAACCGGAAGGTTCATCACCGAATTAACCAAAGCCCTGTCCTGGGCCAACAAAATCCAGTCTCCTTCAACTCCTATCTCCCACAGATCCCGCTTAATACTATCCTCCCATCTACGTCTAGGTCTCACCAGAGGTCTCTTCCCCTCAGGCTTCTCAAGACAGTATTTGAACGTAATTTGGAGGAAATAACTGGAGGCCGGAGGAAAGAATGTCCTTGTTAGCTGCTTTATAATTTGTTATCTTCTCGAAATATTATGATCAACTGAAGGAGGGTGAGACCTGGGGGAGGGGGGGGCATGTATTTTGCATGTGAGTGAGAATAAATGCACAAAAAATTTTCAGTTGAAAAACTTTTAAGGAAGAAGACCAGTTTGGAGGCGAATGATTAGAAAATGAAAGCGAACCATATACAAATTCCACACGGAAGGTTTCGACATTCATCAGTTACGGCCATTAGAAGAATAAAATCTCCAGTGTTAGCCATTTCAAATAAAATCTTCTTGTACAAGTTTGATGACGAGAAGAACCTTCGAGCTTGTAAATTTTCAGGAGCTGAGAAACTTTGACCTAGTGAGTATTTTGTACAAGCGTTTTCTGAACATGGAAAATACGATCCCCTGCCATGTAAACCCAAATGTCATATAAGAATTAGTTTTCCCACTGACTCCATGCAGCAGAGTCCAACTTCAGAAGTTGATAGTCGCTCAGCTGTTCCTTCTGTGGAACCCTAAGTTCCATTGTCGTATCCTGGCCCTGCCCCCTAGAGTCACGTGGTGAGCGCTCTGATAAAGGGAGGTGTTCGAAATTACTGAATTTTTCTTCTATCCTCGGGGCCGTTCAAGTGAATGCGTACGAAATCGGCAACTTCGTTACCGCCGGCGTGACAGTGTGAAGTGCGCTTTCTCACCAGCCGCGTAAGCGAACGTCAGCCAGGCGAGAGAAAGAGAGAGAGCATATCAGGGGTGTCAAAACAGATATCCGCGACAATAAGACTTGATCCAAAATGACTTAGCTCACGCTACGTTTAGATTCGCGTTAAAAACACAACACGGTTGTAATTTGATGAGCGACACAGGCATTAACGAGTTGGGGAGTACAGAAACATGTCAGAACAGTCTGGACCAATGGCTTTTGCGGGGACGAAGTGTCTGGCTGGGTGATGACGTCATGTAACCATGGCACCGAAGGTAACCATGTTTTATATTTCTGAAGACAGTGTGTTGCAAGCATTATGAAAACATTCTCCATGTGGTGTTTCGAAATGTCTGGAGATTGTTGTCAGCATGTTGGAATACCATAAGAAAGACATGTAATGGTTTTTACTTTTCCTAGAACTGACCTACATAAATTAACAAACGAATGAAAATCGCATTGATCCCTTGTACATTTCTTGTAAATGTCTTTCAAGACTAAAAACCTTGAAAAAATATTTGTTCTAAAGTACCTTATGGAGACAGTAAGGACGTCTGAAACGTCTGAAAACAATCCACCAGATTAAACGGCGCTACAAGTCAGAAGACAGCGGGTCTTAAGTCGTAACAATATTTTGTGACTCACAAACAAACGTTTGGTCACCCCTTGTATATGTTATGTTAGCATTTAACGGGAGGCAAGCAGACCAGACCAATGGGAAAGCCCAGCATGGATTCTAAAGCAAGCATTTTGACAGTTCTATAACTAACAAGCCTTGACTACGTAAACTACGGCCAGACAGAGAAAGAGAGATCCCCAGTTTGCGTTAAGTTTGTTGTCGTAAGTGGAATGCTCTTTCAAACTACGATTTTCGTATTTTTAACGCAGATCTGGACCAAATTTCGTCTAGTCTTTCTTTTATTTTAGAAATTGAGTTGGTTAATGGCGTTTAGGGAAATATTTGTTGTTTGTTCCAAAAATTGAAGTGGGTGATTTTAGGGGTACCTTAGGGGGTGTACCCGTGACAGTAATTTGCGTGATGAAACAATTCCATTACTAGTTACAGAAGGCCTTTATCGAAACGTAACATGAGACGTCAGTTCATCATCTCTGATGATGGAGGCAGCAAGGACCTCTGAAACTTATACCAGACTGCAAGCCATACTCACCACCTTGGGAACCTGAAATCTCAACCAAATTTACTTTTCCTCCTAAGACAGCCCACTCCGAGTCTCTGCTTATAAAAAGTATGAGGGGAAAACGTGCATCTTCCGAGAACTTCTCGTTATTAGGCTGTCCGAAGCATTGCGTAGTTCTGACAATACATTTTCATAACATAACCTCATTTTACAGCACACTCTATGTATTATTATTTAGTGTCCTGTCTGACGATAGGTCCATATGAACAGGATCCTTCCATCCTGTTCTCGGACTGGGACCTGTTCATATACGTTCTTGGCAGATGATCCAGAAGTGGTTTGCCATTGCCTTCTTCTGTGTGTGAATGGAGTAATTGTTGGGATGCCACGGAGGAAAACTCCGTGTTGCCTAAACCACGGCCTTGCCCAACACAAGTTATAAATTCGGGCACCGCCGGGAATCGAACCCGAGACCCCCAGGATTACATGGCCAGCGTTCTAACCGCTAGACCACCGTGGCAGTTCCACACCCTATGTACTTCATCATATTACAAATTACAACACGGAAGGATTTCCAAACATTCATCGAAATCATATTTTGAATTTTAATATATTTTTGTATTTCTGAACAACGACAAAATATACAGATCAGACGCTGCGTTAGTTTCAGTACTTTACATTTTCATTTACAGATGGACTTATTTTAACTGCGACAATCACTCGCCGTCCGACAAATTGTCTTCGCTCTCGCTGTCGTCTTGGTTCTTCAGTTCTTCGCTGTATATTTCCCTGAATACGTCCAACTCTTCAAGAGTGAGGTCACAGGCAACTTCTGAAATAAACGTCTCATTGCTGGTGTCTGTAATGTGACTGAGACGCGGATTCTTGTTCCAGGGCTGCTGCCTTTCTTCGACCTTTGTCCCTTTGATCTTCTCTGGCGTCACATACAGACCAGCCCTACACAAAATATCTTAGTTTACACGACAAATTTATTAATATAATCTCCTGTGACTCTTTTTTCATGTACCGACGACCGTGGGTTGTCGCGCCGTGCAGCCTGGTATAAGTTTACCAACTTTTCATAGGTCCTTCCTGCCTCCATCATCAGGTTGATGAAATGTCAGTAAACTTCTACCCTCTACATCGTGCAACGACCCAGAAGACGGCCGTCTTCGGGCTCGCCGCCCTGAGAACCTCAGATCCTACGAGGGTCTAGAGCACAGCAAGCAAGTCGGATCACTGCTGGCAGATCGTCCTAAATAAAGTTCTTGCAAGAGAAAAACTAACATAAGTAGGATTTGGGGGTTTTCACGGCGGAATGTACGAAGATCGCCGTCTTCTGGGTTGTAGCGGTTAACTTCCACCGCACTACACGGGACTACAGCTCAGAAGACAGCGATCCTCAACAAGAATGTTATTCAAAAATGAATTTGACATGACAAAAATACTGCTTATGATAATTAGAAACTCAGAAGACAGTGGCAATGAAACGTTGGATCTCCGTCCCTAAAATTACGAAGGTCAGAATGCCTACAGTACGTTGACATTTCTACCCAGAAGCCCAACACTGACATTAAATAACATTAGCATCGATACAGTGTCATCACATAAGCCATAATCGACGAACCATTCGTTCGTTCAACGTCGATCGGTTTATTGACTGTTTATCGGCACCATATCACCTGCAGAGGATTTTTAGTATTATATATGATGACTTAAAAGGAAGTGGCTGTACGCCATTAGAGGGTACTAACCGAGAATTTGCCCAAAATGGCTGGGGGAAAACTGTGAAAAATGTTTCTTCGGGGTGTCTCATTCCCGGGAAAGATTCAAACCAGGTACCTCCCAAATGAATGTCAGATGCATTAATGCTTTCACTGTAAAGAATGCCCCTACTCTATCAACAATGACAGCAACTTGATACAAACCTTTTTAAAAACGCGTGCCTCGTCCGAATTTCATCCAAAGTACGATTGAACACGTAACACTTGGTTAGGTTTTCCTTAGTTGTGTCTATCTTCATAATATTCTCTACGTAACTGAGCTTCGCTTCCACGTCGTTCCAGTTTCCATACAGCAGATTAGGGCAATTCTGCAGCAGCCTGACGACACTTTTTCCGTGCGACTTTCCTAATGAAAACAACAGTGGTATTCTTCGCTGCAGTTCGTATCTACTAACTGAAACAAAATGTGGGCAAGCTACCAACAGATCCAACACATTGTCATATCCAAGATCACAATTAATCCAGTTTTCCATGGATAACCTAAATTCATTACTTTCAACCACACTGATTAAATCCGGATACAGAGTTAACATCCTTAAAGAATCTTTTCCTGTAAATCCATGATATTTTAATTCTTTGAAACAGTTTTCCCATTGTAATGGTGATTTATTTAATAGTTCTGGTGATACTTCTAAAGCATTTAACAGATCATCAGGTTGAATCCGTTCTTTTACAGTCACTTCTATTAATGATGCTATTTTAGGATTTTGGAATCTGTCATCAGTGGAACACGGTGGTGACTTCTCAACAACTGTACAAAATCTCTGTTTCTCTATTTCCATCAATGTGCTGTATTCAAAAATGTTCCTCTTCCATCCTGCAGTAATTGTACCATTACAACATGAAGACGCCCTCCTCAAACCCAACAACACAGTCGATGTCCTCTTCAGAACCTGCATGTTTTACCTGAAAAATAACATAATCATGTTTCTAGAAGATCAAATGCTTTCACAGTGATCCAGTGCCAGTGTGAATCTTTTTCTGGGTGATGGCTCCATCTAAATACAGGTTGAATTGCTGATGTTTTGAGGACCCTCACAATCTCCAACCTCAAGCCAAATGTTAGCAATACAGTCTACACCTACACAATGCCATCACACCAAAACAAAATCCACAGTTACATTATTGAGTTAACACCAGAAAACTTCAAAAGGAGGTAAAGATTCACCATCATAAATACAACTCAGTTCTAATCCAGTTCTCTCTCTTCATAATGTTTCTGTAAGATGCAATTTAAAGCCACCTTTTACTCTGCATTTAAATGTATGTGCATAAGTTTACAAAATTTTATTGGTCAAATGTTACAAGGAATTAATCATCAATACTCTTATTTTCTCATTTGTGAAATCAAACAATAGTGGCTAGTGAACAGCAAATTATCCTGCAATGTTAGGTATATCTTTTTTTAATTCTGTACTGAAACATTCATGCACATGATGAATTAAAACTTTTGTCAGTGATGAATCAAGCCACTAATTACTGACCTCTGAACACAGAAACGTGTTGTTTATTGTCTGTTAACTTTGCATCCCACACAATTATCATCCTAGGCACTGTCATCGTCAGTCTCAGGATATTAAAGTTGTAATGTTTGTCGCGCAAAATTAAAAAAGAAGTGATTAAAGGAAACCCTATGTACAGAATTTATAAACTAGATATGAAAAATCCAAATTCATTAGACCTATTTAAACCCTTTATAAACATAAAGAACGTCATTCTACTAACCATTGATAACCATTGGCAGCAATACATTTCCTTTCATGACATCTGTTGCGTAGAAGAGTAATTACAATATAAATAAGTGACATAGAATTTATTTGTGTTCCATGGATCCTTCATAGGCCGATACCAAGGATGTAGAACACATCACAGCTCAAATTCAATACTTGTTTCTAATACAACTTACATATGACTGATTTACAGTCAAGTACAGTATTACAGCAAAAATAATTACACAAGAAATCAACCTTATGCCCATATATTAGTTTCTAATTGTGATTTCACTATTTTCCACTTACTGGATACAAAACAGTTTTACTCTTGCTGTTCTCTGTGGGTCTTTGTTCGTAGGTTATCTATGGTCGATGTCACGGATTAGTTCATCGAGGAAGCCATGTGCAAATGTTTATGTCGTTTGTGGTTGTTTACCAAAACGTTTAAATTCAAAATAACTCTTCAGTTTTGCTATCATAAGGAGGTAAAGTATGTCAAAGATATTAATCCTTTGTACTGATTTAACCAGGTTGTCAAACTGACAAGTTGGCCCTTAGCCGAAAATCTATCAAATCCCTAACAACATTCGTAACCTGGATTCTCGGCGTAGTTGTGATATGGATGAAGACAGAAGAACTGTATGGTGTGGCAATTTGTCTGAGAAAGTTACTGAAGACATTTTGTACGAACTGTTTGTTCAGGTACGTTGGTATTGATGACAGTTTTGAGTAATTGTAGGTTACTAGGAAATGTTGAAGGTTGAGTTTTTTTTCTGCTTTTGTAGGCTGGTCCATTGGAGAGAGTACATATACCAAAAGATAGAGAAGGCATACAACGCACTTATGGCTTCGTTACTTTCAAACATGAGTGTTCAGTACCTTATTCTCTAGCGCTGTTTGAAGAAACAACTTTGTTCAATAAGCCTTTAAGGCTGCGATCAAGAAATTGTACAAACAATGATATTCATCATGGCATGAATGACACTCGTGGAAGCGAGAGACAACGTACCCAGTCTCTTCCAAATAACTTAGACTATACTATGATTGCACCTACAGTGCCAGATTACAATATGTTACTCCAGCTTGGACAGCAGATGTTAATTCCATCATCTTTTGGTTTGGGTTCATCGCCAGTCCAGGTGAATCAGTTCAGTGCATATTTACCAAGCAACAGTTCACCTGTGTATAGAAGTCAGCTGAACAGCTCATACTATTTAGGTGGAAGTCTTGAAAAATTGTCTCAAAATAGCCGTGATATCTATGGGCATAACATAAATTACCCCTTTCCTCATGGTTCTCATGGTGGTGGATCTAGAGGTCATGAACGCAACCATGATAGTAACAGTCACCATAGCAACTTGCATCATCATCATCGTCATCGTGACGATGAACATCGGGGCAGGAGTAGAAAACGACGCTACTAAGACCGGCATGCAGTTTGAAACAATGTAAGAAAGAAACTGCTGTTAAACTGTACATTGACATTGCTGATGACCGGACACTGAAGAAGAATATGCAATACATAGGTACAAATTTAAACTGGTGTTCACTAGAGATATTCGATTTTATAAGTTGGTTATTTCTGAATTTTTCACAATGTGGCATACTGACAAAACATAATAGTGCTGGTATATTTACCATGTGACTCAGCTTTAAGAGTGTATCAGTACAAGAATGTTTTAGAGCGCTGTTTTTTCTATGTTTAATGACTTTTTAAAATATATTATACTATAATTTGTAGTAAAGAAAAATCCAGTGTAAGGAATCACAGTATAAAAGTTATTCCTCATTATTATACTGTAAATCAACAAAATACAAAGTGGTACAAAGAATCTTGTATGTAAAAATCACAGTTGAAAACCATAAATCTGTCATCTTATTTTTTTAAATAACAGTACATAAATACAAACTTTTATACTCAGGAAAATGCATGTAAGGAAATTATGACCAGAAATACTTTTAATAACAGTAACAATAATAATAATAACAACAAAGGTTTAGAACTGCTGGTCTATTTTTTCATAAATCTGTGAAACACTATAATGCTCTTTTTCAGTATGTTGTGGTGAATTTCAGTATTGTTTCTATTTTGGATTTTCGTACAGCTCTTATACATGTCAAATGTTACTTGTATTGGTTTATTACTTTGCAAAATTGTAATAAAGTAGCCTTTATATTTATAGTTCCATATCCACCCATCTGTGGATGTTGGATTTAATTTATTGATTTTTGTTTATTTCATTTCTGTGAAAATAGTCACATGTGGTTTTCAGTTTGTAGTTTATACAGAATGGTACAAGAGATTTCAAAATATATTCATTTACAACCAGATTCATGAAGTTTTGGCAAAGATTTGTATGCATTACAGGTAGGGCTTCAGATTAAATTTTTAAGTCTGATAGTCTGATATGCCAGGGGTCTGAAATATTTGTGTTCAATGTGAAACCTGAATTAGTTTATATATTAAGAAATGAGGTTTATTTATTTTTCCTAGATATTATTCTCTGAGTTTTCTTAAACTGGGCAAGGCTGGAGTCTAATTTGTTGCTTGTCCTGGTGATGAAGATGATTGTGCTACATTTCTGAATATCTATTAGTTGTTCTGAACAAGGGCAGGGACATGACCCTGCATGTTGTTATTGTTGAACTGGACACTTTACTGGGATACTTTAGTTTCTGGGAGCTAAAAACTATGAAGTTACAGCCAATCAAATATTTGCTAAAATTAGTTTCTTTCTTACTTTCTTTTTTGTAATAATTGGTATAACAACTTGCAACAAATAGTATTGTATCATTAAAACTCAACTTTAAAACAGATATCTCTGTGTTCATTCGTAGAGTAGAAAATTTTCCTTCTTTGCCATCTTTATGGTTACATTTATCTTCTGTATTCTCGTGCATCCACAACCGTCAAAGATGCAGCAGCATCATCATCATCAATTGGTGTCAGTAATATACCAGAATTTAGGTTTACTGAATCAAAAAGGAGTATGACGTTTTGCTGTATACTGTCTTGTGACATGCAACAAACAATATGTTGAACATTGTTGTATGCCTCGTGTCACATATGAACTTTGCAATAATGAGTGGCATGTTGAATTTTGTGTTCCCTCAGAGTACTTGCAGGTCAAGAGGTGATGATATTACGAAGTTGTCAGTTTTATGTCAGGTGTAGAATGTGAGTTGAATGTGTGGCACTGGAGTGAAAGACAGAAAATGTTCTGCACAGAACATGAAGGATGTCTCAAGTAGCCCCTTGAAAGGTAACATAAACTGGTAGCAAATTGCTTATTTAATTGTGTTGGTATGTGATAAATTTATTTGCAATTAAAAGTGCAAAAACTGGGGAATAATTTTAATGTTATTCCTGTATTAACGTGGTGTTTTAGAGATGACTGAGTTCAGTATTTCCCTTTGAGATCACACACAGCTGATCAATACAAACTAACTGCATTGTATATAAGCAGTTATAAAAACACATCTATTTTGAATATTAAGAATACATTTTTTACAAAGTACAGAAACCTGTGTGTTGGTATAAAGCGCAACGAACTTTATTTTTAATTTGTATTATTATGCAAGAGGATTTATAAGACCTTTGTGTTGCATTATCACTGCATATCACACAGTGGACATTAAAATACAATATTATATTTGCATGGAAACTGTACCAACAGTCTATTGCAAATGTTCTGTAAATTAAACATTTATTTTTATGTAATTATGATGGAATACACAAAAACACTGAATATGCTGTACATATTTTTTTACTATCACAAAAACTTTTTGGCTAGACAAAAGTTATTTATACTGGTCCCACTCCCTGAATTGTACACAAAAATGCAGTATACTTGAAAATATATTTTGATGGAATCCAGTCTCCTTAGCAGTTATACTTTCACCCAAGATTACTTTGCTTAATTCAGTGCAAATGAGCAGCAAATCACAGAATAGTTCAATAATAGTTTATATTATCTGTAGCATTATGTAAAAATATTATTAAATTCATTTTTGTTTTCAAGCACAATAATATCTAGCATCATTACTGTGAGGGTATTTAAGGGAGAAAACAAATATTAAATTCAATATTTTGTTAGTATGATTCACAACGCTACAATGCTTAAAATGTGTTTCTTATCTTTGATAAAATCTATTTTCAAATTTCACTAAACAAACCTCTTTCATTTCATCCTAGGCATTTCAGAGATGTGAACCATTAAATTACGTCTAATGTGGCTTTCTTTTCAGAATTACAGGGAGCCAAACACACTTATATTTTCATATTTCAACATGTGTAAACATATTAGGAAAAAAAGTATCAATATAACTTTATAATATATTGCATGGTTTATATTTCATGTTTACAATAAATCACTCTGATCATGAGAGCATTGCAGTTTAGAACTTTTGTTTGTATTACATATTACTATTAAGTTACTTATACAATATACTTAACACTATTTACACGGACAGGTCTTTGTCTTATTAATGACTACCAGAACCAATAACCTACAATCTGTTGACTTGTATAAAATGGAAGTTATGCTAGAAGAAGACATAACCTTCAATGAAGCACAGCCCTCATTATGTTCCATGCCTAATTAGAGCATTTATTTTGTGCAAGCAATATTATTTGTCTTCATGGAAATTACTTTTTTATTTACTCCTGCAGGTGGGAGAGCTTCTAACACAGTTTTGGGGCATACAAGGTGAAAATATAATTATAAATATGATGTAATGTTTTCTTTTTATATGCCTGCTAACTAATTATGAAATTATATATCAATGAAAAAATCCGATGGAAGAATATGATTGGTAATTTTATATATGATGTAGATTATGGACCAGCTTTATTTATTGTAATTTGCTATAATTTAACACGCAATTAATAGAAATGGTGGTTCATTCATGCTTCTACTACAGAAGCTATGGTACATTTTAACCATGTGATTTCAGAATTCTTGTCCTAAAAGTAGATAATTAAAAATAGGAAGCACTAGGCTTGTTGCTGACTAGAAAGACTGTCCATGAAGAATGCATGATGAAGACAAGTCTCAAATTGTATTTAGATTGAACAATGTTTTAATTCCATCAGAATATTGTTTGTTAAAACGTTGATACTACATGATTAACAGCTTTACTTTATAAGGATACTTGTTTATATATTGTGTATGTTATGTGATTGTAAGTAGGCTTGTTTAGAACAATGCCAATGGTGTGCAAAGACGTGGTTCCTCTTGTGGAAGAAATGTTTGGAGAATAGAATTTTTCCATCAGCAGAACTGAGCCAACTTTTCTTGACCTTTGTGTGTGTGTATGGTTTTAGCATTATTTTAAAATACGAGATATCAAACAAACATGAAGTACCCGTGTGTAAAGTTGTGCTTCTTAGTTATATGCTGCATATGTGACAGTAAAAAATTGCAGTTGATACCACAAATAACAAGAAATGGCATGCGTATTTATGATGCTTTACCTTTGCCTCGTTTGTAATATCTGATAATAAAGTACTGGACGATGTAAGTCATGAATACCCAAGACAAGATGTAAAATGCTGTTGCCAGAAGTTTTTATTCTGTATCAGGTCTTGGATGTAAAATAATGCAATAGTATAAATAACTACCTCCAATGATACGAATTACGAAAAACATGACCATAAATCCCAATTCAGTTAGTACAAAGACAGCAGTGTCTTTATATCCTGCTGAGCGTAAAAACTATTACACTTGGGAGGATGGGATTTGTTACCTCTAGTCCTGCCACGGCTTCTGTACCAGAAACACCTTTCGCGAGTATACGACTCAGAGCTGCGATGCTTACAGAATGATGAATAAGCATAGTCATTCCCTCTGTTTGGTGATACAGACACTAGATCATGTCAAATTTTGAAGGAAATAATGGGGGATATAAACCCATCTTGAAGAAACTTTTGCTTGCAGAAATATCTGTTGAAGTTTCATATATTTTTTTGAGCAATTCATGATTTGTGGTTGTGGTTGTAATGCAGACAGATAAATTCAGATTGTGAATTCAACAAGATATTGATCGCTGTGATTTTAGTATACCATATCAGCTGGTTTGAAAAACGTAGAAAGAATAAGCACAGTCTTTGCTGTAGTCGATCAATTGTTTTATTCTTTTCTTGCAGTCTGTGGAATCTACCAATTGCGTTTCCACATACCATGCAAGCATAATGCAGACGCAGCTCTTTGGTGTGTAGAACAGGGTGGTTTTGCACTCTTTGGAATGAAATTCTGGGCGTCATTACACGTCATGGTTTTTAGTTAAGTGTAATCAGTGATACGGATGAACTCTTTAAGACTTCATTTTTATAATGGATTCACTGTTTACCTGGTAGATGGCAAAAGGAACTTGGTTCCCAGGTCTTTTTATTTAACGACGCTGTCAGTAGCTTGGACAAAGTGTCGAATGACAGGATAAATCGGGACAGATTTACATTTATTCAGTTTTCTCAGTCCGCTTTGCACTTCTCAAATTGCAAAGAGTAATTATTTACAGTATTGTATTATATCTGCTGCGGCTGCCATAGACCGTAGTGGTCTTCGTGGGCCATCATGTAGAACACTTGGCTCGGATTGCATTTCTTGTTGTCACCACTTATTTGTATTCTTTCAAAGGTAAAATTATCTCTGGTTCTTCACCGTGGCATGCAGAGGTATGAAAGAAGTGGAGACATAGCTCCATCCATTCTTAGCCTAACCATTGGATATATTCTTCCTCTGTACTCATAGCTCCGTTTGATGCCATTTGCCTATAGGTATGCGTTCGTATAAAACTGAAATGTTTTGCTCATACAAATAAATGAGCATTCAGCAATATATGTAATTGTGCCAGGAGTGCTGATAATTTTATATTACTAAAAGACTTAAAATTTCTTGAAAATAATATTTTCATATATAAAATAATACGTTTACGAGTTGTGTTTTTGATTATTTAAACTTCCGTTCCTTATTTAGTGGTGTGAATTTCAAAGATAATTACTCGATAGTTACTGCATTTTCTGGTGTCATTCAGCTGTATTTGTGTCCAGTGTATGGTGATGTGTATATTTTCTGTACACTTTGAACATTATCAGTTTGTGTAGAATATCGTAAATTCCATGTCTGTAAATTTTTGTTGTGTTCACAACTTATTTTGTTTTTTTGTATTTTTTTCTTTTAGTTGCTTGTGAGTCATCTTCGTATGAGACTCTTTGATTCCTTCCTTTATAAAAATCGCCATTTTACTGGCCTCGGCGCGAAAACGGTGATGAGCGTGTAGCGGCCATGAGAGTTCTGGTAGTGATGCTGCACAAAAGTATGGATTTTTGGTGCATTAATTGCGTTTATTGCTAAAGAAATGTATATAGGAAATGCCAAAGAAGGACAGAATACATAATGGTAAGAATATTGGTGTTTTATGTTCTAATTTGTTAGTAAAGTTGTATAATGCCCTGAGGCATCTCTTAGCCTGTTATGTCCTACAAGGACAAAGTGTCGAATGACAGGATAAATCGGGACAGATTTACATTTATTCAGTTTTCTCAGTCCGCTTTGCACTTCTCAAATTGCAAAGAGTAATTATTTACAGTATTGTATTATATCTGCTGCGGCTGCCATAGACCGTAGTGGTCTTCGTGGGCCATCATGTAGAACACTTGGCTCGGATTGCATTTCTTGTTGTCACCACTTATTTGTATTCTTTCAAAGGTAAAATTATCTCTGGTTCTTCACCGTGGCATGCAGAGGTATGAAAGAAGTGGAGACATAGCTCCATCCATTCTTAGCCTAACCATTGGATATATTCTTCCTCTGTACTCATAGCTCCGTTTGATGCCATTTGCCTATAGGTATGCGTTCGTATAAAACTGAAATGTTTTGCTCATACAAATAAATGAGCATTCAGCAATATATGTAATTGTGCCAGGAGTGCTGATAATTTTATATTACTAAAAGACTTAAAATTTCTTGAAAATAATATTTTCATATATAAAATAATACGTTTACGAGTTGTGTTTTTGATTATTTAAACTTCCGTTCCTTATTTAGTGGTGTGAATTTCAAAGATAATTACTCGATAGTTACTGCATTTTCTGGTGTCATTCAGCTGTATTTGTGTCCAGTGTATGGTGATGTGTATATTTTCTGTACACTTTGAACATTATCAGTTTGTGTAGAATATCGTAAATTCCATGTCTGTAAATTTTTGTTGTGTTCACAACTTATTTTGTTTTTTTGTATTTTTTTCTTTTAGTTGCTTGTGAGTCATCTTCGTATGAGACTCTTTGATTCCTTCCTTTATAAAAATCGCCATTTTACTGGCCTCGGCGCGAAAACGGTGATGAGCGTGTAGCGGCCATGAGAGTTCTGGTAGTGATGCTGCACAAAAGTATGGATTTTTGGTGCATTAATTGCGTTTATTGCTAAAGAAATGTATATAGGAAATGCCAAAGAAGGACAGAATACATAATGGTAAGAATATTGGTGTTTTATGTTCTAATTTGTTAGTAAAGTTGTATAATGCCCTGAGGCATCTCTTAGCCTGTTATGTCCTACAAAGTCGCGGCATTCATTGTCTTGACAACCACGTGTTGGATCTGACAGTTGACGCTTTTTAGACCATATTTTTACATTAGGATTCCATTTATTATAATTAAATAACAGTTCAAACTCGTCACAAGGCTACTATTATCTGTAAGTGACTATATATCGATATATTACTCAACGGTATTTGTAGGTACAGCAGAATAGGCGTCTGTTAATAAAGGTATTTTTAAAAGCTTAACTTCTGCAATGTAATGAAGAACCGGTGTCTTCACCCCTTTTT